CGCACACACACTTACACACACACACACATACACACACATACACACACACACACACACATTCCATCGATAGGATGAGCAAAAACAGAAAGCATCTTCTGCTGAAAACGGGGAATATACGCTGCCACTTTCTGATTTGCTCATTCTATCGATCCAAGTAGCGTGCGGCGAGCCGTGAGTTTGGTACTTAGCTCTCTCTTTCATACTCTTTGTCTTACACACATGCATGCCCCCACTCACACATACATACTCGCCCACACACACACACGTGCACAGTAGTGTATACATTCGCGTTTTATCGGAAGATTCATCCGCTTTCGCTCGCCTTATCGATCACAGTATGGTACAACTGGCCGGGCGATTCATACTCACAGAGCTATGCACACACACACACATATGTACACTCACACATATCTATACACGCACCCACACATGCCCTGACGTACGTACTTACGTACATACATGCCCGTACACACATAAGTAGTAGTGCATACTTCTGTGTTCTAGCGACAGATTCAATTGATTTCGCTCGTCCTACCGCTGGAAGTAGCATGCTTTCCGCCGTGCGATCAACACACACTCGTACACATGTATATTTTCATGTTTTAGCGGTAGATTCATACGCTTTTGCTCTCCCTATGGGTAGTAGTGCCAAGGAGTAGACCGCGGGATGGGAGACTTACCTGCTCCTCTCTCTCACTCCGCAGCCCGATTCGTCACGAAGCTTCAACACAGTTCGTCCACAGCCCAAGCACGACGGCCATAATGCGTACTCCAAGAAGTCGGGCGGGTTGTTGGTAAGTCGTGTTTCCTCCCCCTTCCTTTCGTCTCCTTCTTCTCCTTCTTCTTCTTCCTCTTCTTCTTCGTTGTTGTCTCCTTCCCCTACTCGCCCTCTATCGCCTTTCTTCTTCCTCCATGTGCCCTCCTACCTCTTCACTCACTTGCGCCTTCGTTCTTCTTCTTCTGGCTTCACTCAGAGTGCATGCGGTCTAAATCGTGGTCAGGTACAGGTAAATGAAGGCGTATTCTCTCCCCCTTTCTCTCTCTGTCTCCCGCATGTTCCCACGATGTGGCGCCGCGGGGAACGCCTACCTCCCGACCTCGACTGAACTTGTGGCCAGTATGAGCTAGTTGAATGACTCGGCCTCGATTTCAGAGGCGGATTCATTCGAGCGGCTTTCATAGAATAGCTACGTATAAAGAAAAATAAATAAATAAATAAGAAACTTGAATAAACAATGAATCTAACTAACTTAAAAAAAATAAACAAAAATTTAAAAGAAACGAATCTAGTCACTAACTACCGCGTTGTGCCAACTGTCACAACGGGCTTTAACTACAACCTTTCCTGATTTCGGGGTCACGGGTTCAAGTCCCGGCTGACTGAGCCCGGGTGAAAAACGTTGAGGAGCTCCTTGCAAAAGGAGCTAGCTCAGGGGTCGGCTGGATTCATTCCTTGCACCCTTCCCTTAACAGACTGCACCTAAACCAACTGAGCTAGCTCCTATTCTGGTTAGGAAGGGAGCAGCTCAGGTACATATAAAGGATCGGGGGGGGCTCGACCCACTTAGTGGCCCGAGTTTGTTTCCAAGTCTACGTGTGCGCACGCATGCCGGTCTGCCTGCCTGTCTGAGCGTTCGCCGGTCTTGAGTGCGTGTGTGCCCCACGCGGGCACTTGATTCAACGGAAAGCCCGAAGTGTCGGTACTTACCTATGACCGTGACATTGAGGGTGACCGCGGGGAAAACACTCAAGTGGCAGGAAAAGAGGTTTGCGGCACTTAAGAGTCGCCTGAAACACTTAGGTAGTAGGTAGGCTGGTATCACTCCAAGTCGGACGTGCCGGGTATTCAAGGTCGAGCAGAAGAAGACAAAAATCGGTGTTTTCCATAGGCCTAGTATCGTTAGGTAGGCGGGTATCAATCCAAGCAGTATGAGTCTAGGCCCTGTACAGATGATATCAGAGCTTACACCGGTGTCTTCCTCTGCAGAGGGACGAAGGCACCGGTCGCTCGGGTAGCCATGCGGTCAGGAAGTCACCGCCCAAGGCAGACTCCCTTTCTACCTACTGGAGGCTGAGCTAGAGCCTCAACCCTGCTCATGGTGCACTAGTAAGGATAAAGGTACCGCTCGAACAAACGTCAACAATCGGGGTGCTACCTCAACCCTGATGATCATACACTAATAATTGCTCCGGTCGTACGGTCGTACGACCGGGCCGCGTATTAATTTATTCTGACTAATGTACTGACGATTAAGTCTCAGCGTACATCGTAGATCTACTCGTCATAACATCAACCCTATCGACCCTTCAACCCCTTTGGTCAAAGGGTATCACTGTAGATCCTAACCTTCACAGCGTGCGTCATAACAACTCGAGCGCATACTTAACGAAATTTTCTCACCGATTTTGCCCCGACCTCAATGACCGAGGAATTCGTTTCAAGTGTCACGCTCAAGTGTACACACCCTTTCCATTCCCGACTGACTTCATCATGGTAGCCGACGCCGTCATCATGTCGAATGCAAAAACATGGTCAAATACCCTTGTAAGGGTATTTTGTCCGACACCGGACCCATTGCCTTGGGAGGAGTCTTGATACAGGCGGATCAAGAGGGTAAGGAAAGACCGTTGCGCTTTGAGAGCCGAACTCTCAATTCAACTGAAAGGAATTACTCCCAATTCAAAAAGGAGGCCTTGGCAGTATTACACTGCCTACGGATCTTCAGATATTATCTCTTTGGGAGAAGATTCATTCTAAGAGTATATCCGACGGCCCTCATGTATTTCCTTAGGAACTTCTCTCTGGCTGATCCTACAGTTGCCAGATGGTTCACCTACATCTGGATGTTTGATTTTCAGTTGGAGCGCATTCCGGGGAACAAGAACAGAGCAGATGGATTGAGCAGGATAGAATGGGAGAAACCTGGAGAAGCTAAGGAAGAAACGCCGTCAGTAGACGGGTTCTTGGAAGAGGATGACATGCAACTTCATGTTAACGCATGAGCCTTAAGAATCGATGATGATGAGATGCGAGAGGGAAAACCTATGTGGTTCGCACCAGCGACTTTTGAGAAGGATGAGAAGTTGGTATTAAAACCCTTCATCGAAGAGGACCCATGGGGAGAAAGGAATGGGGAATGGATGGCGGAATTGGCCTTGGCTGAGAGTTACAGATTGACAGAGGAACCTGTTACAATTGAGGTAGGAACAGGGCAGATGGACCGACACTTATTAACGTCAGGGAGAGTACATTACCTTGTGAACTCTCTCCTACAAGTCTGGACCGAAGAAGAAAGAGGAACAGTTAAGGCGGATGAGATAATATTGGGAGATGACTACGAATTTGATAAGGAAATTGAGAGAGTGAAATTTGAGCAAGGTGAAATTTCAGAAGATTTCCGAGAAGAAGAGTACGATGGGTTCCATCTGGAAATGGGGCCTCTTCTCTCGGGCGACAAGCGAGAAAGGGAAGTTGGTGAGAAAACTCTCCGCATGAGGGACCATTATGTGGTAAGGGGTGGTCATCTCTTCATCATGGATAAAAAAGGACCACCTCGGAGAGTTATCTGTGGTAGGAATCAGTAAATTGATGTCATAGCTGCCCTCCATGATGAACCTGTTGGTGGTCACAGGGGTTTTGCCGCTACCCTCAAGAAAGTGATTGAGCTTTACTTTTGGGAAGGTATGTACGGAATGGTTAGAAAATACTGTGAGTCATGCGTGTCATGCTAGGTCAGATCGTCGATCATGTATAAAGACCTCTTCACCCAAGGTATATCAAGGATGTCGGAGTAGTTGTCCACTTGGATTTGTTAGCGATGTCGTTGGGACTTGGTGGGTACAACTACATCTTTGATACTAGAGATTACCTCGCAGGATTTGTTGATGGAAAGGTCATCCGGACCAAGACTGGGGCGGTCTTGGCCGAATGCATCAAAGAATATTACCTCCGTTATCCTTTCGTGGTGGAATTCACGATGGATAGAGGGTCGGAGTTCACATGTGGGGAGGCTAAAGAGTTATTGGATGATCTCGGAGTAATTTTCAAATACACCACCAGAACACATTCTCAGACTAACGCACCGGTAGAGAGAGGGCACAACCCCATCACCAACTTACTGGCAAAATAGACAGCGGGAAAACCAAACTTGTAGCCTAAGTTCCTACGGACTGTATTCTTCGTTGAAAACATCACGGTCAGGAGAACCACGGGGTATGTTCATGCGACCTTATGGTATGAGAGACACGTCACCTTTCAAACAGAAAGCTTCCTGAAAACCTGGCGGAGACAGGACCTTGAAAACGACCTACCACTTGAAGAGTTACTCGACATCCGAGCCAGACAATTCAGTGTCACAGAGGAAAAGGCAGGAAGCAGTCGAGAAAGTGGCTGACAGTCGGGGAAAAGACAAGGAAAGATGGGACCGGCTTCCTCACGTACGAACTGAGTCATTGGCAATCGAGGACGTGGTGGAAGCTGGATAAGAAATGGTTGGGGCTGTACAAGGTTCGACGTCAAGGGAATCATAGGGCGTATGAGCTGGAGGAAATGGATGGAACGTCAAGGCGAGACTGCGTTTCTGGATCCAGGTTGAAGAAATTCAGGACAAGAGATGAGGTGAGTCAATAACCTAAAGATAAGTCAATTTAATCCTCCTTAAAAACTATTGTGATTGCATCATTTGCAAACCTGATATTGTTACCTGACTGCTCACACCCTGTTGCACCTGCCACTTTCCTCGTTTTTTTTTTGTGTGCAGGCTTAATCCTGTAAAAGGAGCGGCAATGACACGGAAGGGATGGGTGGCGGGGCCTTCCAGGCCAGCTTCTGGCAGGGAACGACGACAGGTATTATGGCGGGTAACCAGGGACGCAGATGGAATGCCGATCTACAAGAAGGGGGACAATTTGAGGTTGTTCCTGAGGGAGTTCGAGGACTATGCATTCAAGAGAGAGTGGGACACCCTGACCATGTTGTCCAAAGTAAATGGTGTGGGGGAGTGTCAATTGAAGATTGAAGAGATTACCACCGACTGTCTGGGATGAATGACTTTCAAAACGGAGATGTGGGCTGAATATGGGGACCTGAGGAGAGACGAGATCGAGGAGGATAACATCTTCGATGAGACTAATGTGGAGGATTTTGAGGAGAGTATTGCTCTGTGTGCAGAAAAGAAAGGGTGGAAGGAAAAGGAGAAGATGGAACAGGTAATGGCGAGGGTGGACCCCAGGGAATATGGAAGTATGAAGAAGATCAAGGGAGAATCAGATACCTGGGAAGAGTTTCTTGTCAAATTTAGAAGAACCTACACCTTGGCCGTACAGAGACAAAAGAAAAGACAGTTACTTCAGGAGCAAGGATTGTGGATAGGGAGAAGAGGAGACAAGTTGGAAAGGAAAGCTCGACAGGAGATTGATGAGGATGATGTACCCCTCAGACAGGTGTTTGACAGAAAGAGGACAACAGTTCAGAAGGGAAATGAATCAGCAAGCAAGACCACAAGAGTGCACGAGAAGAGAAGGAGCAGGGAGAAGAAGGAGAAGGAAGAAGAGGGAAAGAAGGAACAGGACATGATGAGAGGAGAAGAAGGGAAGAAAGAAGTGGAGGGAACTAAAGAGAATGAGGGCACAAAAGAGAAGAAGTAGAAGGAAGAAGAGGGAGAGAAGGAACAAGAAGAGAAGAAGGAAGTGAAGGAGGTAGCAGAGGAGAAAGAAGGCGCGAAGGAGAATGAAGAAAAAGAAGAAGAAAGGAATCAAACAGAGAAAGAGACTGAGATGACAGCAGCTGAGAATCCTTTCATGGAACCCAGATCGAGGAGAATGACCAAGGAAGAGAGAGAAAAGCGAGAGGAAGAAAATAAGGAATGGAGGGACAGAATGGTTGCATCAATGAAGGAAGGTGAGTTACCTGCGGATGCCCCTTGGAGTGAGAAGATCGAGAGGATCTTATTGATTGAATCAATAAGGGGCTCTAAGCTACGGTCAGACCTAGACAAGCTGATCCGACTGCATGAGCTGCTTTGGGATGACTGTGAGTGGCTCCTTGAGGGAGGAGCCGAGGTAGCTGAGAAATTGGAAGGAGCAGGAAGGAGTCAGAGAGGGAACGACAACGATGGAAAGATGGAGGCTTCGATGAGAGAACTCCAAGAAAGGGTAATAGAGAAGGAAAAATTACTTACTCAGGGGGTAACAAGTCACATCCCTGAAATCCTGAAGGAGATTCAGAGATTGAGAAAAAGGGAAGAAGGCAGGGATGCACAGATGGAGAGAATGGAGAAAGAAGTAAGGAACATGAAGGCCGAAATGAGCAGAATGGATGGGGAACGAAAAGAATTTAAGCAGCAAGTGGAATCATTGAGTGTTGCTTTGAGCAACAAAGACAAGGAGGCGAAAAAAGAGAAGATTGAACGAGAAAGGTTGGAGAAAGTAGTTGATAAGTTGGAAGGGAAAGTCAGTAAGCAGGAAGAGGAGATGGAGACTCTCAAAAAGGTTAGTCAAGGAGAAACAGAGGCACCTACAAAAGTTGTTAAGCGGAACGACGAACTGGGATTTGATATCATAAGTGTTACAGAGACACTTCATGTACCAGGATCAGGCTCAGGAAGAGCAAGCAGAGAGGTATTGGGACAAAGGGGGGAGAACAACAATCAGCCTACTGTCATTCCAGCTTCTGCTAACAAGTTGGTTGAGATACTGACATCTGACACTGTTACAAAGTCTTCTAATGAAGGCGAATCCAAGGATAGTTAAAAAAGACCTTCTTCTGAGATGGTGGAAGCATGTGGAGAAAAGGAGGCAGCGATTCCATGTCATTCTGCCAAAAAGCCAATGACTGAGGGCAGAAAGTTGTGTTGGTATTGCATGAAAGGGATGCATCTAACGGAAGAGTGTCCAGGATTAATGTTTGATGAGGGAAAGGGATTGGTAAAGTTTGATGAGAACAAGAAGTTGATTGACAGGGATGGGAACCTCTGTTAAGAAGGCCAAGGACGGATTAAGGGTTCAATTGTATAGACAATTGAACCTTAGCATGATAGACTAGAGGGAAAGTATGTGCCTTGACCTCCTATGTTCTATACAATCATTCATGCTTCTTTCTTTTTCTTCGCGTGACTTTATATGAAGTGTAAAATAGGTAGGGTCTCGTTCTCTTGAGACATAGTGATGTACTGTAGCAGCAGGAAAAAGTCAACAATTTTAGAACCTTTGTTTTGACCTAGAATTAGCTCAGCATGCGTACTTCAGTGAGTGGGGACAGAGGGGCACGTAACTCGTACTCCATCTTTCATATTTCGTTTTCTCTTTCAGGAGGAAGGCCGTTTCTTTTACCTTATCTTCCTTCGCTTGAGTCATATTTTATTAATTTTATTTATGGGGTATGTCGGCGAGAGACACTTTCACTTTCACAACTGAGTTGGTCCAGTGTTTGGTCTTGTTTTGATGGAATGTGTATCTTTGAAGTCTGTACGAACTGTATTATCAAGTCTTGAACTAGGATGCTCACAAAAACGCCTAAGTGTTCAAGAAAGATAAAGTGAAATGTGACATGTATGGTCCGAATGTGCTTTGACATTGTTGATCATGTTTTCATGCTTTGTCTTATGGTGTTATTGTTGAGAAAAACCCTAAAAAGGGGGTGTGAGAAAGATTAAGGCTTTGATTTATTTGAAACCCTGCGAGACATGGGAATGTATGAATGAAATGGTTGTTCTTTTTCTGCCTTCTGACAAGACAAGGAGTCAAACAAGTACTTTTATACCTTTTTTTATGGATATTTGGTTGACTTTTGCTGTTGGTTGAAGATCCCCGAGACGTGTGTCTGTCCAGCCTGTGATCGAGGTTTGGGCAACACGACCCCTAAGTGGCGCTGACGATGCCCCTCGTTCAGTGACAATATGACAATCATGATATATCATTCTTATTGGTGAATTTTTTTTTATATTTTTTTTCAAAGAGGTTCATTCATCCAAACTGACGAGGGGATTCTTTGGTCAAATTGTTTTTATACACATATTTGAAATGATCATCGTTCATTCACTCTAGGTTGTCAGTCTGAGGGACTTGAAATTATCACGCCTATGGTGAAAATTTGACATCGTTGGGACGTAACTCCCAGCGTGGGTTGCTGACCAAGTATAACCAGGCAGCGGGCCTTCCGATTACGGCCTAGGACCGAAACTTGAGAGGGGGCCTCCTTAATGGGAATTGGTTCAGGTAGATATTGGCGGGATCAAGAGTCAGGTTTAGAATGATAGGAGATTTTTACCCGATATTGCGTAACCAATACGGGAACCATCGCTAAAAATAACAAACGCGGTGGACCGCTGTTTCGGTCTGATCAACCGGCTGTGGTGGGTTGAGGCCAAGGTCGTTGATCCCCTGAGACGGTAAAATCTGACTTAGGTCAAGACCCACGTCCAAAGAGTGGGATTCGATTTTGATTCCTAACTCCTCGGACACCCAACGAGATCCTGGCAAATAAAGTCTAAAGTTGGGGGGAGGAGCTATCATTGTCTTCCTTGGTGACCTCCGCAGCTGTAGTACAGATCCAGTATGCCCACTTGGGTTTATATGGAATAATCTTCTCTTGGGAATTGTCATTTTCGGGTATGTGGGAGACCCAGATTAAAATTCTGGCAGCATGGACGCACCAAGGGGGACAGTGAGGATCTCGAAACCGCAACTTCATCCCGGGGATCGAATTTTGACTACTTGTCGCGTCAGAAGGCCTTTCTTTGCATTTAGATTTTCCAGCGACGGGGACGTCGCTTAATAGGGTCTGGGAAAACTGTCGGAGTTGATACCCTTACAAGGGTATCCGCTCATGAGTTTGTAGCCAACAGAACGTCGGCATCAACGGACAGGTAGGAAACAACTAAAAACGGAAAATGAGGCAAAACCCTCGACTATTATAGTCAATAAGGTTTTGCAAGCGCAAGCGCCGAAGCACGGCGCACACGAACTAGGGTCAGTGGTTAAATTTTTTTCAAATGCTCATCTGCCTTGTCATGGCGAACGCAAAGACGGTAAAGATTAGTGGATTAAAAGAGGGATAGCTAGACCTCCGGCCACAAAGGTCGAAGGACTAGTCTAGCAGAAAGGGTGGCGCGAAAGGGCGACGACGATTCTTCCCCAAGTTCATCGACGGCTAGGAACGTATGTTGACGGCGAATGAATCAAGTTAACGGGGGCGGTCAGGCTACTTGCCGTAGATTAAGACTAGGATAAAAATTACTTAAGGGCCCAGTCATGCGGCTGGGGCAACTGGTAAGATAGCCGGGCTGCCGTAGAGGGCTACAACAGTTAAAGAAATCTGTGTCTTCCCCTATGAGGGGCTGAGGGCACTACATCAGCCAGAAAGGGGAGGGTCGAACTACACTTATACTGGGAAAGCTCCTAGTATAACTGTACTAGGAGCTAACCCACTAGGTACGAGTGCATACTGACATACCAGAGGTGCATGGATCGAATCCGCCAGACCACGGGCTAGCTCCTTTTTGGTAAGTGGTTAGATTCCGCACGACCGTTATTTCGGCCGTATTCAAATAAGTGGGATTCGAACTCACGATCTACAGGTTAGAAGTGAGTGGGGCAGAAAAGATTTAGGCTCTTGCATGTGCCAGGAACCCGACAAGTGCACGTAGAGGGAGCAACGAACGAAATTCGGTTAGAGTTTCTTTAATTTTCTTTTTTTTCTGAGATATATTAAATTCGTTATTTTCTTTTGTATCTTACCTGAGTTCCGAGGAAGATTCATGAGTAGTTGGGAGAAGGAAACCAAACATACACTTACCTGAAACCTCGGGGGCACCCAGCGGCTATCTTCAACCACTTTGCACCTGTATATTAATCACTAACGCGATTAGATTCATTTATAATGAATATTCGAGATGTACATCGGTTGTTACTATTATTATTATTATTATTATTATTATTATTATTATTATTATTTCTTATTTCTTATTAGATTATTATTAATTATACCAGTGAAAGAATCTGCCTCGATCAAAAGGGCAGGTTCTTCAAACTGAATGGCATAGGCCCGGGTACCCGCGGGGGCCGAGTCGGGAACACTTCGAGCGAGTGCTCAGAACCAAAGCACAGCAGAACGGGAAAACACGAACATAGGCGGAGGGACGAGTGCGAACATGCAAACGGGTGAAGTAAGCCGAGCAGAGCGAGCGCGAAGATCGAGCGAACGTGTGAGCAAGAGCGAGCGCGAAGGAGGAAGAACGAGCGAACATGCGGGTGAGAGTGAACACGAAGGAGGGGTGCGTGCGAGCGAAGGAAAGGCACGAGAGAAAGGGGATAGGAAGTAGAAGAAGAAGAAGACGAGAAGGGGAGGAAGAAGGAGGAGGAGAGTGATACAGAAGGAGAAGAAGAAGAAGTACGAAGAGAAAAGAGAAAAAGGAAGAAAGGAGGGGAAAGGAGTAAGGAGTGAAGACTCACCTTTGTGCGGGGATTGCATTACAGAGAGGGCAGCAGGCGGTCTCACGATCTCTCCCTGGCAAGAAGGAGCACAAGCTTCCGAGTTGAGGTAAGTTCCGATGTTGAGAGAAACCTCGATGAGAACTGCGACCGGTGATAAGGCAAAATTGAATGAACCTCCTTCTACTTTGGGAGGGATACACCGCTACTTGCGCCACTGCTATGGCACCTCCGACCTGATCGCCTTGTAAGTGTGTGTACGAATGAATACGGGCACAGGTGTGTATGTGTGAGTGCGCGTAAAGCAGAGAGAGAGAGAGAAAGAAGGAAGAAACCCGCATCAGACGACCTTCGTCCACGCTCTCGTCTTAACTACATCAAGACGTACGTTCTTATTAGTATTATTTTTGCAGTGGTTTCTTTTTCGTTATTATTTTCATTATTATTATTATTATTATTATTATTATTATTATTATTATTATTATTAGTGTTGTTGTTGGTAGCGCGAATTTATCGTTACCTAGACACGTGGCACTAAGCCGTTAACG